CCCCAATTGAGGCTCCCTCAACCCAGGTGTGTCAAGTTGACACTAAAGCTATCCAGCACACACAGACAAAAGAATGACCACCCAGCCATGAAAACTTCTAGTGGGCAGACCTTTACTGACTGTGTCATGGTGTCCCTGATGGTTACATTTAGGTTTTCCTTGTGTTTTGTCTCTCAAATAATACCAAAGCAGACATTTTCTACTTTTGAAAGTAATTCTGCAGGGTCAATTCCTAGACACAGGCTGGCCTTTCGGAGAACATGTGACCTGAAAAGCACAAGAGGCATGGCCCATTCCTCTGCCGAGAGGATGTGCCAATTCACGCCCCTTCCCTCAGCTCTGGGACTGCTATTCTTTCACCAAACCCATGGTTGATCACGTTCACTTTTGCTAATTCCTTAGCTCTAGTGTTACCCCACATAAATAAGGGTGTCCATGTCCACACATCTGAAGGCCTGAGTGTCTAGACCTGCGATGTCTATAGAGCGCTCTCTCTTTGCTTTTTGTCACTGGTCTCTGGGAGATCTGTGAGAAACCCTTTAGCCTCTTCTCTGTCATATCTAGTATACGTCTTCCTTCCTGCCAACTATTTGTTAGTCTTCTTGTTCACTTAATGGTGAACTCAAAGCAGAGTCATCTCCTTTCACACTCCTGCCTGACTGTGGGCAGGAGTGAATTGGCCCAGATGTCCTTGAAGAGCAGAGTGCTGTAGCCTGCAGCCCAGAGCTGTGCCACTGTGGGCTGGGTTCTGTGACCAGAGTGAGGGGCAGTGGGCTGGGCCCTGTGGGCTGGGTTCTGTGACCAGAGTGAGGGGCAGTGGGCTGGGCCCTGTGGGCTGGGTTCTGTGACCAGAGTGAGGGGCAGTGGGCTGGGCCCTGTGGGCTGGGTTCTGTGACCAGAGTGAGGGGCGGTGGGCTGGGCCCTGTGGGCTGTGGCTGGAATATGGAGCTAGGAAACTCTGCTTGTTTGTTGCCTTCAGGTACACAGCACCTGCTGAACCCAGAAAGGAGATGCTGTATGTGGCATCCCTGTTCCTTGCCAAGCTCACCTGACGTTACTGGCATAGTTTTGCTTAGATCTGGAGTGGGGAGGGGTAGAGATTGTGATGAAAGATATTTAGTAACTTAATACTTAACTTAAAAAGTTGCCAACCTAGAACATGTGATCAGTGATTATCTGAGAATGTTCATCCTGTGTGTATTTACAGAGTCAAACCCTTGGCACCACCCTCAACAGTTTCATGTATTTCCACCTCTCTACATATATGTCATACCTTCTCCAACACACACACCCCACACACATATATACATACATGACTGTGCACACCATAAAGTCTTGCCCCGGTTCACTTGGCTATCATAAAGTGCAAACTCTGCCTTTACTCACCCACAGATTCCCCTGGTGTTCCCCCAAGTGCCAATGCCCATCACCTCTTCAGAGGATTCAGTTTTGTGGCCTCTAGCCTGGTCCAGGAGCCCTCACAGCAAGACCTACCTAAGGCCCCAGTTCACCCAATTGTACAGGTAAGTCTGCTTGCCCTAGGAACTAGGCTCAGGGGCATACCTGATGCCTGGCCTTGGGGACCCTGTGGACTCACCACCTCAGGTGCTGAATGTCAAGTGGGGTCAGAACCTCTAACATCTCAGCGATGAGTGCCAACAGTGGGCCTATGATGGACGTTTCCTTCTGCACAGTTATCACTGAGTGTGACATGGTGATCCCACTGGTGGCCTACACCATTGCACACTCATTTCCAAGAAGGAAGGTCCTGAGCATCTTCCACAAAGATAGTTTGGGTTGTGGGTACCATGTCATTGGGAGGTCAGGGGGAACATTTGTGTATAGACCCTCCGTCTTTATGTTTACATAGTTAGAATGCAGGAGTGCTCTGGAAAGAAGTCAGGGCTAAACCTACTTGAGAATCTGGTGCATCTATTCAATCCAATTAGATGGCATTGGATCTCCACAGTATTTCTCTGGTAGCCTTGTGGACCCATGAAATGACTGTTAATGGGGATTGGTCTCAGGAGTCAGCAGGTGGGAACTGGGTGCAGGTCAGAGGCTGGCTGTGACTCAGACACTTGGAGGTCAATGTTTTATCTGGAAACACTGCCAGAGCCACACGCCCTGTGTCGGCAAAGCGCTCCTGCCTCTGCTCTACAATTCCCGCAGCTTTGTGGGAGGAAATGGGTGTCGGCAGACACAGAATATCCAGGTGTCTAAATATTAAGAGACTTACCAAGTGTGATAGTGCATGTCTTTAATCCCAACACTTGGGAGACAGAGGCAGGCGGATATCTGAGTTTGAGTCCAGGCTGGTCTACATAACAAGTTCCAAGCCAATTAGGGCTACATAGTGAGATCCTGACTCAAAAAACTAAAAAAAAAAAAAAAAAAAAAAAAAAAAAAAAAAAAAAAATAAATTAGATATGCTTTATATAAGTGCTTGTTTTTAATTTATTGAGATTTGTGTGTGTGTGTGTGTGTGTGTGTGTGTGTGTGTGTGTGTGTGTGTGTGTCTTAGCCCAAGGAATCAGGGAGATCAGGATTCAGCTCTGGGGTCATCACTACACAGCACAGTCTGTGACCCTGGGCAAGGAAGCCTCAGTTCCCTCACGTTCTGTAGTCACCCTAGCCTGCGTCCTCAGTTGTGTGCCTGTGGCCACCTCACATGTGTAAGAGAGCACTGACTGCCCCTCCTGTCCTGGCCTCTCTGCAGCAGTTACACGGGAACAATATCCACTTCACTGATGGCTATGAGATCAAGGAGGACATTGGTGTGGGCTCCTACTCAGTGTGCAAGCGGTGCGTGCACAAGGCCACCGACACCGAGTACGCTGTGAAGGTAAGGTGGGCACAGCACGTGTGCAGCGTCTCAGCAGGACGGCCACTCCAGCCTCAGCAGCTTCCCCCCTCCAGCTCCAGAGTTTTGATGTGATGCACTTCAGTTCACTTTGCTAGGAGGTCACCCATTGAAACATGACTTTGCAAACTGGGTGTGGTGGCACACACCTGCAGTGGGGGAAACCAAGGTGGGAGGCGGGGGCTGAGTGTTCCAGACCAGCCTGGGCTGCATAGCAAGTCTTTCTTAAGGGACTAAAAGAAATGCTTTTCAAACCATAAATATTTTTAACTATATCCAGCACATAGGACCCAACCATTTTTAGTAACTTGTATGGTACATGCAAAGAGTAATAGCCCCAGGCACCCAGTTTTTGAGAAAATGGAATTTAGGGAACAGGCATAGCACTTGGCAAAGAAAGGAAGAAAAGATGGGGAAGAGGAAGGAAGAGAATCCGAGAAATAAATAGAAGTATCCCGGCTACAAGAAGAGGCTGGTGGTTTTAGTCCAGCCATCACAGAGCGTGGTACACCTTATACTGTGGTTCATTACGGTGGGCAGAATGCACGTCATACAATGACGTAGTGTATATGATTGTACTATAATCCAGCTTGGTGAGCTCAACATAGTAATTTTCAGCTCTGTAGCTGTTGCTAGATTAAATATGTACCTGGAAATTCAAAGTGCCACTTTCTAGAGTGTTCTGGTTCATAAACTACCAGTTAAAGCTAAAGCTTTCTGCCAAAGTTGGAATCCAGCATATAAAAAACCACCCAGCACCTTGAGACAGTCTAAACTCCACCACCTGCCCTCAGTGCTTGAGGGGTGGGGCTGGGGAGATAGGTCAGTGTGTAAAATGCTTGTTGCACAAACATGCAGACTTGAGTTCAAGTCCCTAGGACCCACATAAGCTGGGTGTGGTAGCACACATTTTAACCCAGTGTCCCTAGATGAGATGGGGGCAGACAGGTCAGCTAACCTTGCGTATGTAGTGGTGAGCAGTGGTGAGCAACAAAAGAGACCTTGTCTCAAGGTGGGGGGTGAGGACCAGTACCTGAGGTTGTCCTCCAGCTTCCACATGTTTACTGTGGTGTGTGTGCTCCCCCTGACACACAGACACACACACACACACACACACACACACACACACACACCACAAAACTGAAAAAAGACTTGAGGGACAAGTTCCAAGCCTAAGCCACCTTGACAGAGGCTGTGCCAACTCCCTAGGAGGGTGGCACTGCCCCAGCTCTGCAGAGAGTGTCTAGGGAGAGGTGGAGCCAGCCAGGAAGGCAGAACACAGCAGGAGTAATTTCCACAGTTGTGATTTTTCCAAGCTCTGAAGAGTCTGCTCCGCAGAGACTGCACAGGGAGTCCACACACAGTCCCGCCATGTTTCCTGACAGCAGAGGTTTCTCATGTCCTCAAGAGTAATGTGTGTCTTCAGGGGGACACCTACCCCGCTCCTAGGGTGTGAAAGCCTCAGCCCTGGTGAAAATGGCACAAGCCAAACATTCCAGGAATCTGTGGCATTTTGACAAATTTCTTTGGTTTCTCAAACTAAAAGAAGTGTTTAAATAGAGAAGAACAGCGGATGTGGTGGCACATGCCTTTAGTCCCAGCACCCAAGAGGCAGAGGCAGGCAAATCTCTGTGAGATCCAAGCCAGCCTGGTCTACATAGTGATTTCCAGGCCAGCTGGGTCTGCAAGGGGACTCTGTCTCAAGCAATCAATCAATCAATCAATCAATCAATCAATCAATCAATAAGCAAGCAAATAAGCAAATAAATAAATAGGAACAATTAACTTATGAGTCCTGCTGATTGGTTCAGCCTGCCCTGGGAAGGGGATGATTGAGGGAGGAAGCATGGAAGTTAAACTTCCTGGAGACACTACAGCAAGACTGTAGGGAGGCCAGTGAGCTCAGAGTAAGAACAGTCACTGCAGCGTCATGGAGCCGCCCCCTCTGTGGTGTAGGCACTGGGGTATGGTCGGGGAGTTTACAGAAGACCTATGTTCTGTCCAGAAATTTTCCCAATGCTTTGTAAGCATGCGTGGGCTTTTAGTATTTTTGTGGGGGTCATTTTCCACAAAAATTCTTCACTTGTTTATCTGGAGCCCAGCAGCAATCCTAGAAACAAGCAGTCTTGCCAGGGGGCACAAAGAAGCAAGTCTATTGTGTGGCTAGCTCCGCAGCCCTGGTGCCCTTCTAGAAACAGCTGCTACTGTTCCATGCTGCTCTACGCCCTGCAAAGAAGCCTCATTGACAAGGCCAGTGGCATGTTCTCTCCTGCTGTTCCCATACCAGCTCTCATGCAGAGGCTCCTTCTGAAGTCAGCTTTGTTAAGAGACTTAGGGCTCTGTCCCCAAAGATCCTGTTGAGGCTGAACCCTGTGTAGTTTTGGCAGCAGCTCTTTCTCCCCCCTTCTACCCCATAGGAAGAGAAGCCAGGGGCTGCAGATGGCAAGAGAAAGCCAGTCCTTTCCACTTCTCTCCAAGCCCTGAGGTTCACTGGACAGTCTCCGGGGGCATGCAGGGATTTCCTTTGTCCTTCCTGAGACTACAGTGGGTCATGATTTATTGTCTGGAAGATGCTTAAATTAACCATGACAGATAGGAGCAGAGCTGTGGAAAGCCATGGCTTCTGGGTGAGACGCACCTCAGCGTCCACATCGCCCAGAAGCAAGCTGCTTCATGGAGTGGCTACAAGTCCATTTCTCAGAGGGCTGAACCAATCTTGGGTTTCTGTGAAAGATGGAGAGACTGCAGGTTTGTGGCAGAGAGCTCCTGTATGAGATGGACCATTTGTCACCAGATCTGCTTTATAGAATCCAGGTCACCATTCTATTCATTGGCAGGTGAAATGTATTGGAAATATTACTGGCTTTTTCCATGCTAGGGATGGAACAAAGGGTCTTTCACATGCTAGGCAGGCGCTGTGCCCTAGGCAGGCGCTGTGGGCTGAGCTCACAGTTCTCTCGTTGGTTTTCCATGCTTGCTAACTGGTCCACAGGTAGTAGACACTCATACTATCCAAGGATGAAGAAAAGGGCTCGTTCTTACCAGTGATTCAAGAATTAAAAGACAGGAAAGAAATGTTATCAGAAATCTTGGAGAGTCTTGGCAGAGCCACCATATGACACTGGGGAAATTGTGGTCCCTTCTTTGGGTTCTTAGTTTCATTAATAAAAGAATGTAAGAGTAGACTCAAATGGAAGCTCAAGGACAGTTTTATCAGAGTTTAAAAGAAAAAGCCCAAGGCAGGCAAGCTGAGGATCTGCCTCTGCTCAGAGGAGAGTGGGGTGGAGAAGGGGAGGGAGCCGAGCTATAAAAGCTGCATGGAGGCCAGCCATGTGCTGGCAGGCAGCCACATACTGGAAAAGGGCACTTTAAAGAGAGAGAAGAAGGGGGCTGGAGAGATGGCTCAGTAGTTAAGAGCACTGGTGCTCTCACAGAGGACCCAGGTTCGATTCCCAGCACCCACATGGTAGCTACGAACCATCCTTAACTCCAGTTCTGGGGGAATCCGAAGCCCTCCTCTGACCTCCACAGCAATGCATGACAGGTGCACTCACATACATGCAGGCAATGCATTCATACACATAAAATAAAATTAATTAAAAAAAAGAACAAGAGTGAGCAAGCCCAAAGTCGCAGGGGTTAAAAGCACACTTTGGCTCAGCATCTGACGGGAAGATAAAGACAGAAAGGACGAAAAAGGAATAGTTACGCCTTTCTGCGTCAGGCCTCAGAAAGCGGGGCAGGCCTCATGGTGGCTGCACGAGGGGCAGAACTCTGGGGAGGAAAAGTGCATTGTCTTAAGGTGAACCATGACCTGCCCAACTAGATTAACTGTCAAGGGAGGAGACATGGGCTTGTCTTCACCTAGAGGTAGACTCTGGTCTTTACTCAACAACCCCACCAGTGAAGGGAAGAACTAAGAAACAGCATGTAGCAGTGTGTGTGTGTGTGTGTGTGTGGTGTGTGTGTGCGTGGTGTGTGTGTGCGTGGTGTGTGTGTGTGTGGTGTGTGTGTGTGGTATGTGTGGTGTGTGTGCGGTGTGTGTGTGTGTGCGGTGTGTGTGCGGTGTGTGTGCGTGGTGTGTGTGTGTGTGGTGTGTGTGTGTGGTATGTGTGTGTGCGTGGTGTGTGTGTGTGTGGTGTGTGTGTGTGGTGTGTGTGCTGGGGCTACATGTGTGTGTGTGGTGTGGGGGGGGTGTGGGGTGTGTGTGGTGTGTGTGTGTGGTGTGGTATGTGTGTGTGTGTGTGTAGTGTTGTATATGGCATATGTGTATATGATGCATGCAGGTATATGTGGGTACAGGAGCCCATGTGTGCACATGAAGAAGACAGAGCATGATGTCAGGTGTCTTCCCTCGCTCGCTTTCTGCCTTTTCCCTTGAGGAAGGGCCTCTCACTGAACCAGAAGCTTCTATTTTGTCTACAGTGGCTGACCAGCAAGCTCTTGGGATCTGCCCGCCATGCAGTTGTTTCCCTAGAGGGTGCATCTTGCCCACCAGGTCCTTGTCGTAGCTCGCAGGGTTCACAGCTAGGTAAGATGTGATAACTTCTCCCCCAGAAGCCAGCAGAACTCCTTCTGGATTATGAAGACCAGCTGGTAAGGGAGGAAGCCTCCAGGTCAACCCCAGCTTGAGCTCTTTATGTCACATGACCAAAGCATGTGGTGTCTTCAGCAGTAAGTGTACCGTAAGTTCTGGAGTGAGGTCAAGAGCCATGGTGGTAGCCTGTATCATTTTACGGCCCTCTGGGGCCTCCCTGGCCAACAGTTAATAGGAAGGTGTCCCACACCTGGCACTGGGATTTTCATTTAACAATCCACGGCTTCTGGGAGGACATTTCCCATCCATAAATTTCCCATCCATAAGCGCATCTCCCTTTTTGAGATTATATTTTAATATGCTATAAATAGTAGGCTTCATATGTCCTTTTCACATAGCCTCCCCATCTTAACCTCGACCCCCTTCCACGAGACCTTTCTACCTCATGGCCCCTCCACTTTCATGCTCTGTGTGTTCTACTGCCCCCTCCTTTTAACATCCCCTTCTATTTCTGGCCTTTACCAACACACAATGTTAAGTACTAGTCTAAAAAATTATAACTAGGATCCACATATAAGGGCAAACATGCAGTTTTGTCTTTTGAGGCCTGGGTACCTCATTCAGATTATGTTTTCCGGATTCATCCATTTTCTGGCAAACATCTTGATTTCATTCTTTTGTGCCACTGGATAAAAATCCGTTGTGTAATGGACCGCATTTTCATCATCCATTCAACCAGCTGACAGCCCCCTAGGCTGCTTCCCTCTCCCAGCTATTGTGACGAGAACCACAATGAACAGGGAAGTCCAGGTACCTCTGTTGTAGGGTTTGGAGCCTTTGGCTATATGCCCAGGAGCATACAGCTGGGTGAGCTTTTTTCAGGAACCCCACACTGATTTCTACAGTGGCTGCCCACCGTTTACACTCCCACCACCCGTGGATAAAGGTCCTTTCCCCGCATCCTCACCAGCATTCATAGTTACTTGTTTTCTTGAGTGTAACCATTCTAACTGGGGTGAGATGGAACCTCAAAGTAGTTTTAATTTGCATTTCCCTAATGGCTTAAGATGTTGACTGATTTTTAAATGTTTATTACCCATCTGTGTCTCTCCTTTAGTGAACCTTCTGCTCAGCTTCATAGACCATTTTAAATTTTGATTCTTCAAGAATTTCATAGAGTGTATTTTACTACATTCAGACTCCCTTCCTCATCTCCACCCACAACCTACCACCTCCCCCAACTTCATGTCCTCTATTATTAATTTCCTTTTTCAGAGGCTGATCAAGTCTCAGCTGTTCTCCCCAAACACTCCTAGATCTATCCCTTGGGGTCTGGTCAACCTACCAGGCTTCACACCCCTAAAGAAGGTCCTCACCTAGCCCTTCAAGTGTCCTACTTCACCCTCTAGCAATTTCAGAGTTTCAGATCAAGCACTGAGGTCTCTGAGCCATTAGGAATTGATTTTGTGCAGGTTGAGAACTGAGGATCATGTTTCATTCTTCTGCATGGGGCCATTCGGTTTCCCGGTAGCAATTGGGGAAAAGGCCATCTTTTCTCCTGGTTCTTTGTCAGAATTGGGAGACTGTAGCTGCACATGACCTTGGCCTTTGCTACAGCAGTAGATGGGGCTGCTGTGCCCAGGATAGGACAGGCCTGGTTCCCCCAGAGTAGCTACAGTTTGAATTCACATCAGGTCAGCCGTATGAAGGAGCGTTTGAACGTCTATGCTCAATTTCATACTGTGTATGTAATTTGTCAGGCAGAAAGGAAATAGAGTTAAACAGATGCCTTAGTCTGGAGAGAGCTTATTTTTAGAAGGACTGATTGGCATGGAAATTTTCATTTTTTTCCACCATGAAAACACTAGAGTTCTTTCTCTGTGTCATTTTAAAAAATTAATTTTACAGGAAAAAAAGTCTGTTAGATTTTTCAAGTGATTCCACACTCTGTTTGCCTTGTTCCCAACGTGCTATGATCCTTCCAGCAAGTGAGAGGAAGCCCCAGGCTTGGAGAGGGCATCCTGCAGGCCTAGGCCTCTGCTCCCTGCATTGCCTTCAGGCCTCTCCTGTGGTGGTTCAGCCCCTGGGAAGGGGGTGCTTCCGGTGATGGGGATCATGAGAAAAATGAGGAAGAACACATACAGACACCAAAAGGGGAAAATGGGAGGATCACATCAGTCCTGTCAAAGTTCTTGTGTACCAGGAACATGTTTTACCTGCTCAGAAATGCCAACACCCTGCACCTCCCGCTGTGGAAGCTGCGGTGCTCCGGGGATGCACATGCATCGTTGCCTAGCATCACTGAGGACAGTGGAAATGCAGTGTGATGCACAGCAGGGCCACAAGGTCTTCAGCATGGACCATCTGCCCATTGGGTTCCACCCAATAGGTGCCCCTTCTGCACAGCTGCTGCCAGAGGGAAAAAGAGGGATGGGGCAGCGAGGTCTTGCTATCTTCCTGCCCCTCCCTATGGTGGTCACTGTGGTCAAGCACATACATGGAGAAAGAGGCTGAGTTGTTGAGCAGTGATATAGAATCCCTGCCTCCACTCAGGGCCGCATAAAGACCGTAAAGCAATGTCACACTCCAAGGTTCAGAATAAGGAATTTGGTCTATAGGAGATGTTCTAATAAGAAGCAGATCCAGACATATCAATCTCAAGAAGCCCATTTCACCAAGAAACTCACAGAAGGATTTTCTTTATATCTTCCTCCACCACCTAAGCAAGCAGCTGGTTTATTTATGGTATTTGACCAAGATGCTTTGCAAAGTTCATCAAACAATCAAATGATATTATAATATGATGTCACTATGTAATAAAAAAACCAATGTGCATGCCCAAGTGGGCATCATGTCAGAGCAGATAATCCAGGTACTTCCTCCCATGTGCCTACTGTTTGAACATACACATTGACTCTTATTACATGCAATCTTAGTGTTAGTTCAAATGTCAGTGAGAGTTTAAGGTATTTGCCACTAAAAACTGATTTGTTTGCAAATGCTGATGACTACAAATTAGAATTTTTCCTGTGACCTACAGCAAAAGAGCATTCAGTAGTGGAGACACCAGGTGGAGATAGGCCAGTCTTTGCCAGCCCAGCTGCTGTGATGGCAGTCATACTGTTCTCACTTAATGAACAGATAACAAATTCTCATGATTCAGAGCTCAGTCCCCCTCCCCCAGTTGTCCATTTCCCCCTCCATGGGAAGCAAGGTGATTAACATTTCCTCTTTCCTTCTAGGGCTATTTATGCATACATAAGGAAGTGCATGAGTATGTCTACATTCCTCCCCTGTTGTAAAAAAGTCACCATGTAGGACACACCTGTGGCACTTCTCCATCTTGACAAGTGCCCCTGGCAGTAGACAAAAGACTTCCTCTTCCTTATAACTGCATCTGGCTCCTCTGTGAGGGCACCAGATTGATGTTAGGAATCTATCGCTTTATCCTGAAATCTTCTGTGGGAAAAATGAATCTACTATTGAATGTGTTGAGCCCACGAGTAAGTAGCAAAAAGAAGAGCCCAGCCAGGGGATGGGCTCAAGGCAGAGCCGAGAAGCTTTGAAACTCGTGAGGCTGCTGTGCAGGAATGATGGGGAGAGCTGCTGGGACGCATTTCTGAGAACCTTGCTTCTATTCCGGGTGCTGGCAACATCTGTGCCATCCATGTCACATACATGGAGCCTTGCTCTCCACTAGCTCTCCCTGCCCATTGGGTTCCACCCAATAGGTGCCCCTTCTGGAGCTTAGGAAGGCACCTCCAGAGGCATCAGAGCCATTATGTGCCACAGGGATTCCAGGTTCCAAGGCAGGCTTTGACTCACGACCATGTCGGGAGAAGCCACACATTTCTCCAGAGTTAAAGTTTCTCCACCATCCTGAGATTCTGGTACGAAGCACTGAGCAGAGGGAACATTGCAGCAAGAAGTGGGTGTCCTGTCTACATCCCGAGGGAAACCCAGCCTGCTCTTCTCCAGCATCTCTGTGAGGACCTGGTACTTGGCCTCTCTTTGTGCTGGCATGCAGTTCCCTGAACAAGGCAGAGGTGCTCAGTGCCTGAAGCCTCCTTTTGAAGGAGCAAAGTGGGAGCTCAACCTGCCCAGTCTACAGCCAACTGATCTGAAACAGACTGTGTTGCTTATTGATGCTGGGTGACCTCCCCATGCCCACCTTCTGCAGCTGGCCTTTTGATAGCTTAAGAATGGTGTCTGAAGGCTGTACCCTTTTTTCTTGTGGTACTTGAGATTGAATCTAGGGCCTTCCACATGCTAAGCAATTGCTTTGCCACTGAGCTAAATTCCCAGCCCTCTTTTACTTTTTATTTTGAGACAGGGTCTCACTAAGTTGCCAAGATAGACCTTGAACTTGAAGTCTTCCTGGTTAGGCTCCCTAGTGCCTGGAATTAGAGGACTGTACCATCAGACCCCATTTTCTCTTTTAAAATGTATCTCTCATATAGCTGAGACAGAAAAAACTAGCCCTGATTTCTGGACAGTTTTAAGTGATCTTGGTTGAAGGAGGCTGAAGGCAGAGGCTGGCTATGCTGAAGCTGACTGAGGCCTCAGCCCATATATGTGACGTTGGCAGCAAACCCCTCACTGTCACCTGCTGTTTGTGTTTCAGATCATTGATAAGAGCAAAAGGGACCCATCGGAAGAGATTGAGATTCTTCTGCGGTACGGCCAGCACCCAAACATCATCACCCTGAAAGATGTAAGCATCTCTGTTTCGTAGCCTCACCTAATACAGAAAGCCATTTGCATAGTGCAAGTTCTGCACACATGACCTGTGTTCCTTGTGCCCAGGATCGCATGCTACAGCCAAGTCTCACCCAAGAGTCTCTGTGCTTTGGTGACTGGTCACCCTCATTTGCTGGTTGTGTGCATACCTCTGGATAGGTCTCCACCCTCCCAATGCATATGATATACAAACACAAATCAGGAGACAGTGTACCCATCCAAACAGGGCGTGCCATTCTTTGTCACTGAGCTATTCTTCTGACAGAGGAGAGTGGCGTGGAGTCTGAGCTGTGCAGATTCTCACAGCCTCTCTCTGGCTTTCCCTAGTGAGGATGATTCAGAGCAGGAATCAGCCACATCAGGCCAGTCTTTGCCACTCCGCCCCACCCTATGAAGGTTTGGGGTTGGAGAAAAAAGATGCTTTGCCTCATCTTCCACCTCCCCTTGGAGTGCAAAATGGTGCCAAGTGTCATGTGCCCAAAGGCTGCTGAGGTGACCTTGATGTGCCTGCAAGCCAGCAGCTTACAGAGCAAGAGTTCAACCCTGGGGACCACGGAAAGTGAATGTCTTGTGTCTAGAAAGCTTAAACTGAGCCACCTCTTTCCCAAGGGCCACAGTCACCTCACTGCACAAGTGCAATGCTTCACGGTGTGTTCTTGGTTCACATGTAAGATTCATAAAGAGAAACTAACTCATCTGCAAACTTTCAGAGCCTCAATTCCTTCTGTTCCATTTGGGGTGAGCAGCTCTGGTCTAGAAGGGCATCAGCTTTCCACTTTCAGAAGTAGAACAGAGCGTTTGTGAACTTGGAGACAAGCACATCCAAACTAACGTCACATCTTTTACAAAGTCAGGAAAATTGTTCTAGTGACTTGTTCAGGAAATCCATTGATTAACTGATGATCTGTAAACTAAAAATCAGATTTAGACCCACCACTCCATTTTGTACAGAGAACTCAGTGCTTGGACAGACACCTGTGGCTCTTGTGTGACTCTCAGGTGCATGTGGGATACACATGTGGTCTTCATATGTATAATAGCCTGAGTTTGCATTTTGTTTTGTACTTCTTAATTGAGAGCGTGAGTTTTAAAGCTAGTGTGGACTAAAGCTAGCCTTTCTTTCTCCTCTCTGAAGTGAGAGCACAGCACTGATGAGGTAGGCTACCTCTGACCTGCCTGCCCAACACCAAGAACCCGGCCACTACAGGAGTGGACAGGGGCAGCACGGCCAGCACCCAGACTGGTTAGAGAGGCAGAGCTGGACTCCCTCCCCTTCAGACTGCAGAGCCAGAGCTTGCACTCCCACAGGACCCCAGGATGATATGCACACTGCAGTTGAGAAGCGGTGTCCTCAGGGACTGCTATCACCATGGTCACTTTTCTTACTTGGAGTGCCTCCCGGAGACTGGCAGCATCAACAGATAACATACCGCAGCTCAGCCCATGAATCCCGTGGTCCACCTCGCTCATTCCCCACAGCATCAAAGCTGCTTTTTTCCTCAGAAGAGCCAGTCCCATGTGACTGAAATGGCCACTCACCCATTCACAATAGACACCAAACAACTCACTCTGACTCCTAGGTTTACAAACCTCAGCCTGTTCCCCCAGCATCTCTCCTCCACCCTGTCAGAGCCCTTGCTCTTTCACAGGAGCCAGTGGCCTGGTGAGGGCAGCCATGGTGACATGCAAGTCCCTGAGGATCTGTGCTCTTCCCCTTGGCCTCCAGGTCTATGATGATGGCAAGTACGTGTACCTGGTAATGGAGCTGATGCGAGGCGGAGAACTGCTGGATCGTATCCTCCGTCAGCGGTGCTTTTCTGAGCGTGAGGCCAGTGATGTGCTGTGCACCATTGCCAGGACCATGGACTACCTGCACTCCCAGGGGGTAAGGCCTGGGTCAGGGTACCAGAGAAATGGCTGAGGTAGGGCCGAGACTGTGGACTCCCTGCACTCCCAGCCAATAAGGCTCAGGCCAGGGTACTGGAGCAGCCTTCAGGGACAGCAGGTGTCTTGGCAGGGAGGGAGGCACAAGACCATGGAAGAGCCACAGAGTTGTGGGTGCAAGAGTGGGCACCTTTATATACTGGTGTCTCGTTTTTGGCACATATCAGGAGGGCACCACACCTTCCTGTACCTTCTTCGTTCAGCCCCAGATAATCAGTGTGCCATCTGATCCGTGGTGGAGTTTGCTGTGACATATTCTTCAAGGGCCAAAAGTCATTTGTACACATAGTATACCCAGGAAGTAAGTTAATAAATTATATTATGCGGACCACTTAGCAAAAAAATGAATACTCTGGCCTTGATAGAGGGAAATTTAGAATTTTCATTACTTGCAGACACAAAGCTAAACAGCAATGACAGCTGAGGCTCACTCAGCCTTAGGTGCCCTGGGCTGCACCAGGCTCTTCATGGACTCGGGCCCAAACTCTGGGCCATGCACTTTGTAAGGTTTAGAAGAACAAGCTCAGAGAGAATGAGGACCTCGGCCAAGGCCATTCTGGCTGTAGGCCATACTGTCTCAGAGAAAGTGTCCTGACAATACCTCTTCTGGATCCCTCACCCCCATCCCTTATCTCCAGCCTCACCTCCATCCTTCACCTCCATCCCTCACCTTCACCCCCTTGCTCCCATCCCTCACCCCATCCTCCTCACCATGTCTCATGAAGCAGGCAGTACTGTGTAGGCCAGCTGTGTATACAGGTTTTCAAGCTTTTTAAATGCAGTCATCTCTGAAAAGGAGAATATTCTTCACAGATACTGCTTTATGAGGGGAGGTAACGGCTACAGACCAGAGTCTTCCAGTCTCCCATCCCCTTGCTCTCAGCATCAGTAGCCAAGCCTGGTGGCCCCATGGGTCATTTGAATCTTCCTAGCCAATACTCTCACTGCCCTGCAAGGGGACAATTGGGATGTTCAAGTCTAAGGTTCCAAGTCTCATGAAGGCACACACCACACATCCACAGTGATCTGTGAAGGCATCACATCATAGTTGCATTGCTTTGAGGTGTTGCTGGGTCCTCCTTCATAAACAGCTGTCACTGTCACTGTGGGATGTGCTCACAGAGCCTGTGCCCTGAATGGTGCAGTCCTGAGCACCTGCCCAGTGCTACCATGAGTCACCACCTATGGCAGCAGGCATACCAGTGCTCCCAGAACCTATGACAGTCAGTCACACACTGATGTACCCTGACATCTGATGGGGCAAAACCAGAGAACCCTTTTTATTGCTGTAACCAGAACTCACCACCATCCGTCCCTCTGTAGGATAGTGCCAGTAGTTCCTCTGAGGTCTTGGTGTGTCTTTTACTTGTTCAGTTATAGCTCTTTACTGTAAAGGCAGGGTGTGTGGGCACTTGGCTTTAAGTGACAAGTAGGTGAGTAGCCAGGGGAGGCCCTTCTGAAGGATGCAGCTTTATCTCACGCCATGCCCCCCCCTCCAGTAATCAGTTCCAAGCCAGCCCCCAGTCTTCCTTCTTCCTTCTCCCACTCCACCTTGACTCACGTTTCCCACCCTCCAGGTGGTACATCGTGACCTGAAGCCGAGTAACATTCTGTACATGGATGAGTCTGGAAATCCCGAATCCATCCGCATCTGTGACTTTGGGTTTGCCAAGCAGTTGCGAGCAGAGAATGGCCTGCTTATGACCCCCTGCTACACAGCGAACTTCGTGGCCCCTGAGGTAGAGAGAGACCCCCAAACCCAGGGGAAAGCAGACTTACCAGGCTGGGAAAGCACCCTGCCTTTCCTGTGTCCATAGTGACAGAGAGCTTGGGAACCTGAGGAGCCCAGTGGGCTCAGCAGTCATCAAAAGACACCATGGAGAGCCTGCTAGGAATGGGGAGAAGGTACAGGCACTCTTCAGTCAGCCAGTCCTGATCGATTACCTTGATCATGCTATTTTCAGTTGGAAAAACTTTTAAATGGTAGTATTTTCACATAAAATTGTCACTGTGCTGCAGACAGCTTGGATCAACTCTACACGTTTGTTATGAGGGAGAGGGATCAGTAATCATACGATCCGGCCATGGAGCTGGTGGGCTGTCTGCTGACAGACCGTGCTGCCGCAGTGGGGACAGCCTGGCCTCTGTGGGTTTTCTACATCACAGTTCTTGCCCCAGTGTCTCCTTGACAGAGCAAGTTGGTATCCGACCAACTTGAGAATACTGGGGCCACGGCATTGTGTAGCTGAGAGTTCACATGTGCATGAGGGACCCTGTCTGATATCATTGATGTTTGCAATGCCAAATCCGGTTTCTTGCATGATCTGATGGTGAAGAGGGTATGCAGGAGTAGTGGGGGGCCTGGTGTTGCTACTGGACCAGGAGGAGAGGAAGGAGTAGATTAGAGGTCAGGCAGGTCCTCCTGGATAGAACCGTCAGATCTGTTGAGTCCTGAGAGGAAAACAGTGCTATGTGCTTTGCTAATACCTGGGCAGATCCATGGTCTGGGGAACAGGATCACGTAACCCAGGCATGTAAGCAGCCTGGAACCCAGGCATGTAAGAACCTGGGAACAACCTAGTTTGAAGCTCCAATTTACTTCATTTGGCCAATGTTAATGTCCTCAGTACTGAGAGGAGGGAAGCCCTGTCACAAAGAACAGAGCAGGAGAAAAGTGAATGGGCCCCTGGACACAGCTCTTTCACATGCGTGTGGGAGTCACCCACGGTGGGCAGTTCCCACAGAGGTGGCCTAGAGCTCTTCTGCTGTGACACCTTCAACACAGAGCAGGAGCTCCCTGGAGAAGTGACAGGACAAAGGACACGTGTTAGAGGGTCTGGGCAGTGACTGGAGGGAAGGCAAATAGGTGCAGGAGAAGGTGTTTCTAGAACAGTCACCCTTTATGGTCCCTCACAGGGTCAGATTCAAATTCATAGAGAAAGTAGAGTTAGGTTTTTAGAGACAGAGGAGTGGGTAGGGAATTATTTCTTAACAAGGGCTGAGTTTCAATTTGGGAAGATGAGAAGACTCTGGAGGGAGAAGGTGGTAATGGCCACAAAACACTGCAAATGTGCTTAGTGTACCCAACAGTACCCTAAATATGGTTAAGATAGTGAACTGGAAAATAAAACTTCAGCCTTAACACTGTGTGCCTGGCAAGTGTTATACCTGTGCCTCTGTCTGCAGGAGCCATGCCACACTGGGGTGGGTAGGGTTGGCTGAACCCAGCAGATGCCCTCACCTGGTCACTGCCTGTGCCCTTGGGAAAAGCTGCTCTGAACCCAAGTTGCCCAGGCCATCCTGACTCTGCCTTTGCTCCCCCCAGGTCCTAAAGCGGCAAGGCTATGATGCAGCCTGTGACGTCTGGAGCTTGGGAATCCTGCTCTACACCATGTTGGCAGGGTAATGGAGGCTGGGGGGCTGTACCCCTCTTCCCTGGTACATGTGTGAGCAAATGCCAACTGCAGGCAACCCATCTGTAGCTAGGAAAGGCCCCATCCACAACCCACAGGTTCCTCACATTCTCAATTAGTGCTTGAGTGTAGTCCAGACCACCCATTCTGTTTGCCCTCACAGGAGAGGGAGGTGGGCTATGATGAGGAGCTCATGGTAATCAGTAAGTATTATCTCCAGTTAGGGTTAGCCACATAGACACAGAGCTGGACTTTGACAGCCAGTGATCAAGAGAGGTGTTCCTGATAGTGCGCAGCATCCTGATAGTACGCAGCGTCCTGATAGTACACAGCATCCTGATAGTATGCAGCATGCTGTTGGTCACGTAGCTGCCCTTCCAATACTCGTACTACCAGCCTAGGGAGTGCCAGGAGAGTCTGGTGTATCCTTCCTCCTGGGAAGTATGTGCTGAGGTGCCTGACCTGTGACAGGGTGGTGGGATGAACCTCTCTCGTCCTCTGAGAGTGTGGCAAGGACTTCACATTTCTGTGTTTCTATGTATGTGAACATTGGCTGTCCAAGAGCCAAGAAATGGTAGTAGATCAACTGTGGGCCCCTCAGACTTCAGGCTCTTGTCCACTGAGTTGCTTTGTCACCATGGAAACCAAATCTTTAGGCAGACCTCTGTCCCATCCAGGCACCAATATGACCCAGAAGGGTCCAGAAAGGTTACATCCTGGAGTCCAAAGGGCTTTCCCCATCTGCTCCACTGAGCTCTGGTATTGACTCCAGGAGGAAGGTGGCCTGGAACATGTGCCGTGCCTGACCACAAACCCTGGACTCAGAGAGGACAGAGAGAGAGAGATGCTGTTCCTTCAGCAGGAAAGTGCTGCATGGAGTTTAGACTTTGTTTCAGGTTCTAAGGTCAAGCTCAATGCTGTCAATCCTCTTCCTACAGATTTACTCCTTTTGCCAACGGACCGGATGACACTCCTGAGGAGATCCTGGCGAGGATTGGCAGCGGGAAGTACGCCCTTTCTGGCGGGAACTGGGACTCCATATCTGACGCCGCGAAAGTGAGTATTTCCCTGTCTTCCTGCCTCCTGGGCACGGAGGGTCTAGGGCAGGCGTGTTGTTGGGGAGGAAGCTCTAGATGCCTTCCATTCAAATGTTAGAAGTTTTGCATCTAAAAAAGGAAGCAATTTGCAAAAATGTACCTTTTCTATACTCTTAATTTAGAAGATTCTACAGAGAAACAGAAACCATAGGAAACATAGGCATAAGTGTAGACAGGCAGACACAGATATAAATACTTAGAATGAATGAGAGAGGAATTGACTGCTGTAACTAGGGTTACTAGTCTAGGTTTGCTGGTAACTGGAGACACTGAGGAAGAGATGTTACTGCAGATTAACCCCAGAGTTATCTGCTGCTGAATTGCCTCTTCTGTAGGGATATTGCCAGGTGCCTGCCCTGCATGTCCTCTGAGGTGTGTGTGGTACCTAAAAATCGTTGAATTTGGGCCTGTCTGAAGTGCACACTGCTGTGACCAGCTTCATTCCTCCTGACCATCAGACTCTGGTCTTTTTCAGTAGATGTCATCAAACTGCTGTCTAATAAAGTAATTCCTGCCTTGGCTGAGGGTGTATCTCAATGACAGAACACCCCTAGCATGTGCAAAGGCCTGGACTTCATAGGAAAAGCTGCAAGATGTGCTAGCCCTTCCTCCTGTGGCTGTACAGTGTGTGAGAGAGAGCAAGGCCCTGAGTCCACATCAGACGCGGGCTGCGGGTAGAAGGGACAGTGTGGAAGGTGGAGGTGACAATAGTGTAGAAGCTGGTGGAGATGATGGCTGGGGTGATGGCTCAGTGGGGAAGAGCACTTGCTACTCAAGCATGAGGACCTGAGTGTGAATTCTCAACAGATAAAAAAAGCTGAGTGTAGCTGGGCGTGGTGGCACACGCCTTTAATCCCAGCACTCGGGAGGCAGAGGTAGGCCTATCTCTGTGAGTTCAAGGCTAGCCTGGTCCACATAGTGAGTTCCAGGACAGCTGGGGCTACAGGGAGACCCTGTCTCAAAAAGACCAAAAAAAAAACAAACAACAGAAAAAAAAACTGAGTGTAGCCATGTGTGCACCAGTGCTTAGGCAGGGAGAGGCAGAGACAGGAGCATCACTGAGACTTGCTCCAGGTTCAGTCAGAGATCCTGTCTGAAAGAAATAAGACAGAGATTGATAGAGCAGGACACCTGATGTCCTCTTCTGGCCTCTACACATATATGCTCAGGTAAGTACAACCACCCCCCCAACACATGCTTACACGCTATGCACACATATACCACATACAAATATGCCACACACAAAAAAAGGAGGTGATGATATAGAAGATGGAGGTGTGGCAAGATGATGGCTCAGGTGGTGATGTGGAAGTCGATGGCAAAGGTGACAGTGGCGTGTCCTGGTGAATATGGTGCAGAGGTGATAGCAGGGACACAGTGGAGGAGACACCATAGATCGTGGTGGTGGTGGTGGAGGGCAGTAGAGGTGATATGCAGGTGGTGGTAAAGAGTTTGGGGGTAATAAGGAGGGGACAGCAGGACCAGTCCTCTCTTACTCATCACACAGCTCCCACCTCATCTCATACAAGTGCTGTGTCACTGAGTGCACCCCAGCCTGATAGCATGTGTCTTTATTTGCTTTTTGGGTTTGTCATTGCTTGAGCTTGCCTGTTTAAGATGCTGAAAGTCAGACCCAGGACCTCATGCATGTTGAGTATATTCATTTGTCATTACTATAACCAAAATGCCTGTCATAAGCAGCTGAAATGATGAGGGATTTATTCTGGCTCCCAGTTTCAGAAGGCTCGATCTGTCAGTTGCCATTTGGCCCCATGTGCTTAGTCAGAACACCATGATGGCACATGGCAGAAGAAAGCTGTTCACCTCATGGCGGACAGGAAGTAGAGGAAAGACAGGAAGACACCAAGGACAAGATAGTCCTACCAATCAGCTCCGGGTGACCTCTGCCTTCGGGTGGCTTCACCTCCTAAAGTTTCTATACTCTCTCAGAACAGCACTGCCACCTGGAGATGTAGGGGTCTCAGATTACCTGTGGGGACATTTCCAATTCAAACTGCAACACTGGGGAAGTGCTGTGTCACTGAGTGCACCCCAGCCTGATAGCATGTGTGCATGTTCATGCTGTGTGTGCTAGATAGAGCTCCGTGTCCCAACTGTGACACCAGGAGTAAACAGTGCTGTTCCCTATGCCTTTTTTGTCACACCTGAGACACTGCAGGAGACACTCCTGAGCCATTGCTGAAATCACTGTTCTCAAACACTAGAAAGCACTGGGTTTCTCTATGGAAGGGCAGCGTTTGCAGTGCAGAGTGTTTCTTGATGTATTTTTAAAAAATGATTGACAGCTTAACATGTCGTTTGGCATGTCCACATTTAATTTCCCTTTGGATGTAAAATCTTCAGTGAAATATAAATCTATGAACAGCAAAGTTGGTGATCATTAACACTTAAAACTAAAAAGAAAATCATTTGACCCAGAATGCAAAGAATCACTCTCAGAATTGTGGTTGGGTTCTACTGGGCATTCTTTGGCCTGGCCAGCCCAACACCATCCTTCTTCTCCCCTCTGAAACCCTGGCAGGATGTGGTGTCCAAGATGCTCCACGTGGACCCACAACAGCGCCTGACAGCAATTCAAGTGCTGAAACACCCATGGATTGTGAACAGAGAGTACCTGTCCCAAAACCAGCTGAGCAGACAGGATGTTCACTTGGTGAAGGTACTGTATGAGCACAGTCCAGATGGTGGGCACAGGAAACCTGGGCATGACAAGATAATGCCTCACCATTGGTTAGAAGAAGCATAGCCAAAGTCACCAGTTACAGGCACAGGTGTCACTAAGAGACGACCGTTATATACTTCAGCACACACAGGCAGTCATATGCAGAACTTGGATTTGAATGACGGCTTTTGAGCAAGAGTATGGTGGCAGGTGTCATGGCTAACAGCCCTGTGTTCCAGAGCCCTCAGCTCCAGTCCAACAATCGGTAGAAGTCCCCTTCACCTTCATGACAGTGCTCATGTTCAGAGCAACTTTCAATATCAGATAGACCCACATTCTGGGCAGGACTGCCCTTCTGAGAAGTGTGCCTGGTCTCCACCATGATCTATTAGCAGTGGTCCATCCTGATCTATCTCCAGTGTATGGAGCTATAACAGAATAAGCGCAGTTACCCAAGTTTGTCCAGACTGCTCCAGAGTGGCAGAGGCTAAGAAACATGGGCCCTGAGTTCCTGGGGCTGCCCCAAAACACACCTGCCTTCCTATCAGTAGTAAGACAATCACATGACCTTCCCTAAAGCTCCACTCTAGACTTACTTACCCCAAGGCACAAGCCCCATCTGAGGCTGTGATGGTGTGGTAGCTGTGATTTCTGGGCCTATTATGTCCTGGGCAATGCAGCATGCCTGCTACCCTCAGTGCTCTGCTAATCCTAGGGGAGTAAACTGAGGCTTATCAAGGTCTTGTGGCCCTAGCTTCCCACTCAGGAGTGAAAGGCACCATGCTCACCTTCCCTTCGTCTTACAGGGCGCCATGGCAGCCACGTACTTTGCTCTGAACAGGACCCCACAGGCCCCGCGCCTGGAGCCTGTGATGTCATCTAGCCTGGCCCAGCGCAGAGGTATGAAAAGACTCACATCCACGAGGTTGTAGTGGCCAGCCTAGCCTGCCCACCAGCCTCGGCCTGCCACCCAGCATCCTCTCAGGCTCAGAGACTCCAGACATGGGTCCTTGTTCATGGGGACCTGCACCACCATGAGTCCAGCACAAAGACGGATCTGGCCTTGGCTGTCTCTGTGGTTCCTTCACAGCCCTGGAGAGGGGCCTGCCCAGGATGTCTGAGCCTTGCTGAGCCAACCTCACCGCCCGCTCTCCTTTCCTCCTGAGCAAAACCAAACGAACCTGCTACCTTGCAGTACTTTCTGGAGCCCCACCCGGCTCCCTCAGAGCTTTCAGTCTTTTCATAGCGTGGCTTATGTTTTCGCAGAGCACTTTTTTGCCGTTCTGAACTCAGCTAAGTGGTCAGCCTCCCACACAGGGGTCCTGCTATCTCACTGAGAACATCAGTGCAGGGTCCCTGCCAGGGAGCCGCAGAGCCCCTGGGAGAGCCTGACTCTCCTGGATGTTCTGGTGTTGCCAGTGGCCGTGTGATGGCATCCAGCTTAGATGCCTGGTCCTGTCCAAAATCACCCAAAGAGTGTCCCTCGCTGTCCTCTGGTCCACAACAAGATCCCTGTAACTTCTTTACACCTCGTTACTGACTTGTCAGGATGAAAGATCCCAACCCACGTCAAGATGGGCATGTCTACTTTGTGAGGGTTGAGAGAGGAGCCCCAGGGAGTTTCCAGGTGGAGCTGGTGCCCACTACACAGTGAAACCTAGCCTTCAGGTCCCAGGGACTCTGGAGGGTGTGAGGCTCTGCCATTGGCCAGGTGTCCTGGCAGCATGGCACGTTTCTGCCCGAGGCGATGGTGGTGTTGGATTCACTCCTGTTTTCCTGGTCTTCAGAGAAACCGAAGATGGGAACTGCAGCTTTGCCCTCTCCAGCCCTTCCTTAGCTTGACTGGGGACAGGAGAGACACCTGGTCCCCTTGGTCTCGGGGCAGGAAGGGCCAGGACAGTTGAGTGACGCACTTTTAGAAGCTGTGGTTTGTGTTGCGTTTGTGTTTTTGTTCTGTGGCTCTGCTTTTAACTGGCATTTCAGTGGTAGTGTTTTCAGGATGTGGTCTGTGCACAGGAGCGGTGTGGCACTGGGTGGCTTTGTACCCTTCCTGGGGCAGTAGAATTGAGTGGAACCTTCCTGCATGGCAGGTGGTACTCAGCCTAGACCTGGACCTGGCTGAGGGTTTGTGTGTCCTCCAGCCTCTCCTCAGGGTGCCAAGGGCCCTCCATAGTGGTCTCTCCATTCAGAGGACCCTCCACTGTGTCTCCGAGCCCACCATCTGAGGAGCAGCCCCTGTGCCTGGTGAGCATGGGAGGCACCTGTTGGTTACAGCAGGCTTGCTGTAGGAGGGCCACAAATGGATCATAACTTCTTTTTCCTCCATCTCAATTAGCTCTAGGGCCCAATACCTCCCCCTCCCCAAATACAGCATTTGGGACACAATTCCTTAGGTTGGCCTAATTGCTTCAGATCTCAAGATATAAACTTGTTTCACAAGCTTTAATTATCCCATGAGACTTTTTTGTTTTGAAAATTATAAAACACAAAAAGTAGGGACAGACACATTCCGCTTCATGTGGCCCTGGGCAGTTCTTATATTTTCTCAATGAAAAATGATTTGTCTCCAGGGTGAAATCTTTCCTCCATTCATTTTGCTTCTTAAGTCCAAATTCTTCCATTTCTTGATAGAATTCTAGACAGGAAAAAACAAAATAGTGAGTCATCCTTAGGTGACAGGCTCTGCCCTCCTAGAAATGAGCTCTTTCGCCCTCTGCTGGCCTCCCAGGCGCGGGTTCTCCACAGTTGCCCAGCCTTCGCCTGGCTTTGTTTGTGCAGTTGTTTGTGGCTTCAAGTCTGTGAGTTTGATGAAGGGAAAGAATGAGAGGACATAGAAGACAGATGGGGGAAGTAGAGCAGGAGCTGGATGTGTCCACGCCGTCCCGTCACCTCCTCTTTTAGCAGTGCCAGGTTATCTGCCTTACTCTCAGCCCAAGCTGGCCAAAGGGACAGAGGAGGTTGTCACCCCAAGCTCCACCCCTGAGGTGTCTGTGAAGCATGTCTGCAGAGGCTCTACTGAGAGTCTGAAATACCTCCGCTTTCCCACCCTCACCCAGCATAGAGCGATACTTGAAATCTCCCACAGGAAGTCAGCTGAAGAGCTCGTGATGGGATTGTCTTAAGCTCTATTCTTTAACCACAGGCAGCTGCGGCCTGTGAGCAGCACAGTGTGAAACTGAAGTGTCACTAGTGTTTTCTTTCCAGTCCGGTGCACCCTCACCCCACATGATGAAAGGTCCCTGTGCTCTGCACAAGTGACCCAGGCTTCCCAGCAGCCCTTGCTGCTCATCAGTGTGTCATCACCTCTCTGGATCATAGAAGCCACAGAATTTGTCAGGGGAAACCCCAGCCTACATCCCAGGCCAGCCCACAGCAGTCCCTCTCTGGCCACCCTACTGGCAGCTCTCGCCTGTTTGAAATGAGAACCTGCTGAGTTCTCACTGAAGGGAGCCTTGCTGGATTCCACCCAAAGGTCAGTGCAGGCAAGACGGGATCCGCTCCCATCCTAAGGAGGGAATGGGTATGGTTTTAAACTGGGCATTGATGTTTGGATATGTGGCTTTTTGAGTAAGGACAGTTTCTAATGTCAGCAGTATTGTTCATTAACTGGTGTTCGGAGAGATGCCCTTTGGGGTTTTTACCTTACGCTGTACTGATTCTCTCAAGCACATGAGATGTGTTATGACTCTTCATTCCCTCTCTGACATGTTCTGCTACCCCTTACTGCCTGTGCAAGAGCTGTAAAAATCATGGAATGGGAAAGGACGCTGCAGGGCTGTGCGTGGTAGAGAAGGTGGAAGGCACGGCCGGCATGTCTCATCTGTCCCTGTGGAACACGCCTGTCCACCTGCTCCCCGCCTCACACTGCGTTTACAAACTCGGCAGTTACGTTTACAGGTCATTCCATGTTCACACTTTGTTTTGAGACGGGCGGCCACTGTACAGATATTTATTATGCTTTCCAGAATTTCACAAGAGATTTTTTGAATAAACATGAGTTTTATGAAGTGTAATATCTTCCTGGAATAATGAGACCTCTGCACTCTCTATGCTGCTACTAATAACTGTCCATGGTCCAGCTCCTGGCTCCTCTGCCTCCTCCCGTGTCCAGGTCACTGTGAGCTGTCACTGCAGGGCACGTCATGAGGAGGTGGAACAGCATCACGTCTACTCTGCTTGAGAGCCGTGTGTGTGTGTGTATGTGTGTGTGTGGTGTGTGTACACGAGCATACCTATGTCCCAGTACATGTGTATATGTGTGTGTACTTTAAGGGGCAATTGGAGCAGCGTGGATCTATCCACTTAAGATCTCGGTATATATGTGTTTGTGTGCATACATTTGTGTACACCTCATGGGGAGGTGGGTCAGAACGCCATTCACTCCGTTTTTAGAGCCGTGTGTGTGTGTGTGTGTGTGTCTGTGTCTGTGTCTGTGTGTGTAGGTATGCAAGTTCATGCATAATGTGTATGTGTGAGAATATGTGCACACATAGAATTGTGTGTGTACATGTTTGTATGTGTGCACAGAGATATGTGTTGGGGTATATTTGCACATATGCAAGCATGTGTGCATGTATATGTAGGTGTGCTAGCACATGTGTATGCTACTGAAATTGTGCAGTTTGAGTGTGTGAGATGAGTCCTGTGAGAAGCCAGGCTGTGATTTGGGCTGGAACCACTGATGGGTCATGCAGTGTAGCAAGCAGGTGACCAGGGTCCTGAGGAGAGGTGGCACTTGCTGTGTCTCTTGCGCTTCATCACCTCACCTCATGGGCCCTGCCCTTCCTAAATCAAACAAGTCTACACTGTTGGTCTTTGGCCTTCAACCTAGTTCTTCCTAAGCAGCATGTGTCCACAAGCAGCACAGATGTGCCGACAGACACAGATGCACACACGCGTGTGCACACCACATCCTGCACACACCATACAAGCACAAGTCTTGTATGGTGGCATAAAACCCTTGTGCCAGACGATCCCAGCAGAGCGGCTTTTCCTGGCTCTGTCAGACCCCTGAGCAGGGAGAAGCACCAGGCCCCGCTGAAGGGATCTGAGCACCACAGCAAAGGTCCAAGAGGCCAGCTCCTGCCGCTCAGGGGCACTCACAAGATGCTGCTGAAGGACATAGGAACTGAAACCGCATCTTTCATGCTCCGTCACCGCCCCATAGCCGATCTCTCCCTCCAACAAAGTTCACCTTCTCACCACTCAGGTCTTAACCAGGCGGCTCTCCCTGAACTAAAGTCACGGGGTCAGCAGGCAGGCTCCCTGCAGGGCGTTCTCTGGGAGAAGCCATTCTGCACCTTCTCCAGCTCCTAGACACTCCTGGGTGCCTTGGCTGGCAGTCCTTTCCTCCACCTTCTGATTCACCAAGGGTGGGTCAAACCCTTCTACTGTCCTGCCATGAAACCCCGTCTTGTGCCCCATCCACTTTTCAGCTCAGTGATCACACTGGCTGCCAGGATAACCCAGGGCACCTCCCATTTGATTTTTGCTGGTAATGCATAAACAGAAACGAAACAGAAAGAAGGAAAATTGTCAGAAACACACACTTAAAAGGTAAAAATTTAAACCGCCTTCTACTCTGTCCTAGACACAGCATCCCTAAGAGCCACAAGCAGCCCTCTTGCTTCCAGAGCACTGCCCTGACTTATTTTCTTTTGAGGGGATCATGGAGAGACAGGGTCTATCTAGCCGAGTCTGGCCTTGAAGTCCCAATCTTCCTGCCTCTGCCTCCACTGAGTGCTAGGATTTAGGTGCACATCACTGCACCTGGCTTCTGTACTATTTCAAGATTATCTGACCACCTGAATCCAACCTGCCACATTAACTCCTGCATCCTGCCTTACACATGGGCTCCAGGGAGTTGATGTTGTCTAGGGCAGCACCATCCCACCTCCTGCATCCTGTATAACTAAGCATGATCTGCTTCCAGACTTGAGCCTCTGTGTTTTATTGTCTGGAGGAAGGTGTGTCAAGAACTGCAGTTTCTGGGCCTTTGCCCTACTTGCAAAGTAACCAGTGAGCCTGCCAGTCTTATGAGTGATGATCAAAGTCCCAGGACTCCTCAGCAGTCCCTAGGACCCCAAACCTTATGCAGTGATAGAGAATGGTAAGGTGGATTGATGTCATAGCTGGGGACTCCCAACTTAAGAAACAATCATCTTTTATGAAGGGCTGCAGGCAAACCCACTGCCATCTGCCCCCAGCAAGGGTGCTGTCCATAAAGACACTGGACTGAAGCCTACCTGCCCTTAACAGAGAGAGACATTTCTGATAGCCCTGCTGTCCACTCCACAGAAGTCCTCGGAAAGGTGGTCAAGAACCAAAGCAGCTGTGGCCACCAAATGCAAGAGGCCAGGAGGCTTGCCTCCCCACAGCAAGGGGCTCCGGCCTGTCACTCCCGTTTCCGAATGCTGACACGAGTGTCATCAAAGCATCCCCTTGTGCCAGGCTGTTACCTGTATTCTGTGGTATTCTGTGAAGACAACTGCCTTTCTGAGCTCAAGTGCATCTAAAGAGCATCGTCTGCTACAAGATCTCAAATGGAGTCCTGTGATCTACCTGACCACTCTGAAGATCATTTTTCCTCAAAGCTCAGGCCGCTGCCTGTCCCAAAATGAGTCCATAGGGCACCAGCAGCCCTGCTGAGATCAAGTCTGCATGGAGAGGCAGGACTTCACTCCAGACTCACATGAGTCACCTGACTTCAGGGATCAGGAATCTTAGAAGTTCAAGTCCATTGCCTTCCATAAAATGGATAAATCCTATTTGCAAAGCAGACTGAAGACACCACAGTCACAGACTAGTCCACACCACAGGGAATCATGGACTAGTATGGGCTCTGCCAGGCCACTGGGCTGTGATCTGTCTTCTGTCCCTGTAGCACTGTCTGCTTGGTCATAAATGTAGCCCTGACTCTCAAGACCTGGGCATCATCTAGCAAGGGGAGAGAGAAGCAACTCAGAATACTAAGTGTGCAGAGGTGGCCAGCTTGGGAGCAAGCACAGAGCTGGAGAAGCTGCCGGTGTTAGGGCAGCTGAGGACCAAAAGCACAGATTGTTCCTGGCCCTGCTCACTTTCAACGGTTAACCATCGTTTTTATCCTTTTACCTACTTTAAATGCCTTCATCGTTAAAAAAATGTATGCGCTAAGAGACAAAATAAGCTGAGCATGGCAGCACCTGCCTATAGTCCCAGCAGCTTGTGAGCCTGAGGCAAGAGGATCGCCTGAGCTCAGGAGTTCAAGGCCAGCCTCAGCAACATAGTGGCACAGTATCTCAAAATATAACAACAAAAAATAAAACTAAAAACTATTGACATATGATAGCTGTCCAACTTGGATGTGTTTGCCATTTTGCTCTGATGCGGAGACACGGCAGATAAATAGATGGCACAGAAAGAATCTTCTGTATGCTGTTGTTATCACACCTGGGTTTAGGGAGGAAGCCAGGCTTTCTAATTCTACCATGGTGGCATTGTTGGCAGTGTGTTCTACTTTGTGTATTCCTGAGGGGTAAATACCCATAGGGAACAGATGTCCTTCTCCCACTGACTTTGGTCCTCCTGGGTTCTGCCCTAGAGTATGGGATGGGTGGTGGAACTGGAAAGCTAGGCCACAAGGAGACAGGATAAAACTCATAGGCTGCCAAATTCCATTTCTGGATTTAAAACTAGGGATTTAGAAACCCAAGTCAGAAGGCTTGTTTTTCAGTCCCAAACTGCAGTTAAAAGGTGAATGTGCCCTCAGAGGAAAAGTGTGTTTAAGAGTAACCACTTAATAGGCTGGAGACATGGCTCAGCAGTTAAGGGTACTGGCTATTCTTGCAGAAGAACCAGGTTCGATTCCCAGCACCCATATGGCAGCTAGCAACCGTCTGTAACTCCAGTTCCAGGGGATCCGATGTCCTTGACTGTCCTCTGCAGGCATTGCACCACACGAGTGCACTTATGTGCATGCAGGCAATGCACTTGTACACGTAAAATACAAATAAACAATAAAGATTAACCACTTAAAATTGGAATTAGCCTCCTCACCTTAATTTCAAATATTTGAACTTCACCAGCAACAGCATAAACTCTAGTCCAAGTACAGGACACTGCCACTTAAAACCAGGAAACCCCAAGAATTCCAAACCCTCAAGTGATCCCAAGGCCCTTCCTCAAACAGCCTCCCCTGGTGCCCATGTTGAACAAGGGGTCACATAGTTGGGCCCATAGCTGAGCCTTACTTGCCACCTTCCACTGTGATGATGGGGTTCAGAAAGGCTCCCCCAAATATGGCCCTCGGCCTCTGAGAAAACAGCTGCAGCAGGAAGGCACCCCATGTGGATCTCACTCCTCTAGTGCTCCCGATTCCCAGAGGGAAGGAGAGCTCTCATCCCTGAGGACTTAGGAAAGAGTAGGCCAGCAGGCTTGCCACAGCCCAGCTCACCTCCACCCAGCCCTGGCCCCGACCTGCAGACCTGCTGCTACACAGCCATCCCCTCTTCCTCAAGCCTAAGGATGAAGACAGGCTCAGCCAGGCCTCACCTGTACTCGGCCTCAGATCCTTGGGAGGCTGAGACAGGAGGATTGCTTGAGCCCAGGAATCCAAATCCAGCAAGGGCAGAGGACATAGACTCAATACCGAGTCTAAAAAACATATTTATGGTGGGGTGTAGTTCAGTGTCAGAGGACTTACCCAGCCTACACAAGACCCTGGGTTCCATCCCTAGCATGGCAAAAATAAATAAATATCAGCTCTGTTCCTTTGGTCTTCCTTTCCAAAGGCTCTTTGTCGTATAAAGTTTATAGTAAATAGATGTCCATGCTTTTTCTTATTCACCTGCCTTTTGTTAAAGGGGTCTGAGCAACACACCCAGAGATGACTGAGGACGCTCCAGTCCTTCAAGGCAGTGAGGTTTACTACAGCCAATCTATCACCTGCAGGAAGAAATCCCCCACAGTGGCTTCCAGAACAGTCCTGACCACAAAAGGTTCTGTTGGGCATGGCCAGTCTGTCCCTGCAGAACAGCTGAGGGGCCAGCACTGCCCGAGCCCACTGCACTGTTACGGACACCAGCTCTTCCCAGGCACCAGGATGGGCACGCACCTAGCGCAGGCGACAGAGGCAAGTGGACAGACGGCAGAGAGTGCTCCTGGTGGAGGACATGAACATGGGGTTGACTG